AATTTATATGCTTTTGGCTTGAGAGATTGTTACAAAAGCCAGCCAAGCTGGCAATGATAACCCAAGTAAGGCATGGAAGATTTAAGAGGCAGGGTCAATGAATGCATTGGGGCTAAATTTATGCTTTTTATTCAAGACTTGTGTGGCAGGAAAAAGGCACCGTCTCAGATAACTTCTGCAGCAACACTGTATGCTCCAGACTATAGCAGGAATTGAAATGAGCATCTTTGGTTTTGTTTGCATTTAATCAAAGGAGGATGTCGCTGTAGCACTCTCACATACTAAACGGCTCGCGCTGATTCAAGCACATCTGTGGTTAACTATTACCTGATGAACATTTTTGTTGTAATCAGGTTGTAATGTTAGAGGCACTCCAAGAAATCTCAGTCTGTGGTTTTGCAAATCCTCCTGTGGTGTGGGGCAAGCACTATAACAGCACATATAAATTATTTGCTATGTGGACTGGATGATTTACCAAGGTGCACACAGGCTGTATCCAAGATCCACAATTTGTGGGATGCTGTGTTCATCTATCTGTAAATGTTTTGGTGGTAGACAAAGGAAACAAATAGACTTAAGGTCTTTCATCCAATTTGCTGTACGTTTTAAATATGTGTCAACTTTCCCATCTTTTTTAATTTGAACTGTGGATAATGATTTATTTTATAATACACAAATACCTTGGAAGCACTCTTTAAAATACAGTGACAGTACTGGGAGTTTTCCATGGGAACAGTCCACCTCCTTATCAATTATATATTGCTTCAAATTACTCATTCATTATTCTTTTGTAGGTCACAAGCTAATTACTACGTGTTAATAATTTACATTTATATAGTATTTTTCAGGTCTCAATGTGTTCTACAGGCTGTATTTAGAGATCACTCACCTGCTACTAAAATGCAGCTATTCCTCAGGTGGAATGTGACAGCTTTTTAATAGCACACAGCTACAGTGCAGAACAGTTTAGGACACTAATTGAAAAATATTGTATCCATTTGGAATTGCAGAGGAAATATATAGGTAAGCAGACTGTAATTACCCAAAGTAGAATTGGCCCAAGACCTTAAATCCATAATCTTGCAAAAAGCACAAGGGGATTTTTAATGACTACAGATGATCAGACTTCATTTTCTTGTCTCATCCAGAAGACAGCATCTTCAGCAGCACCAGCCCCCTTCTACCATGTGAAAGCATCAGTTCTGTAGTGGTTCAGAACTGCTGACTTCTGTGTCCAGAGGCGGTACTGTTGCCATATTTTAGGTTGTTACTTACTGGGTTCATCCAAAACAGAGTATTCACAAAGCCATAATATACTTTTCTTTTTAAAGATGACAGACCAACATGATAGGGCTCCGCATCTAAAGCAATAATTAGATTTTAAAGGTTGAAAATCTTCACATATTTGTCCTGTAATTACATGATAATTTCTGTGTAATTACCATACTATTCCTTTATAGTAAAAGAATCTTATTTATGTTATGCATGAGAAGTACTCATAGACCTTTGGCATGTTGTAAATAAAGTGCTTCTGTCTTCTGGAATAAATTTTTATACCAAATAGAAGCTTGTGCAACTACACAGTCCAAACCAAAAATTTAAAGCATCAGTGGCTCAGAGATTAATTTTAAGATGCTTTGTCTGTCAGTATTTACCAGTGTATGAAGTTCTACTTTCCTCTTTTCAGATGTTCACTGTGATGTTCAGTGCAAGAGCATTAATCATTAAAAAGTACTAATGCGGATGTCATTCAATTTCTTCATCAGCGATCTAGATGATGGGGTGGAAAGTAACCTGTTTAAATTCGCTGATGACACCAAAATTTGGGGGGAGGTGAGCACGCTAGCAGGGAGTGAGAGATTGCAGAAGGATCTGGATAGGTTACAGGGGTGGGCTAACAGGAACAGGATGCGTTTCAATACGGACAAGTGCAGGGTGCTGCACTTGGGCAGTAGGAACCAGCAGCACACTTACACAATGGGGAACTCCCTACTTGAGAGCACGGAGGCAGAAAGAGATCTTGGAGTCATTATTGACTCCAAGATGAACATGGGCCGACAATGCGAGGTCATGGTTGGCAGGGCTAACCGGACCTTGTCGTGCATCCACAGGTGCATCTCGAGTAGAGCCAAGGAGGTGATCCTCCCCCTCTACGCGACGCTGGTCAGGCCACAGCTGGAGTATTGTGTCCAGTTCTGTGCGCCCCATTTCAAGAGGGATGTGGACAACATGGAGAGGGTCCAGAGGAGGGCCACCCGCATGATCCAGGGACAACAGGGCAGACCCTACAGTGAGAGACTGCGGGACCTGAACCTATTCAGCCTCCACAAGAGAAGGCTGAGGGGGGACCTGGTGACCGTCTATAAACTCACTAGGGGGGACCAGAAGGGTTTGGGGGAGACGCTGTTTCCCCTAGCGCCCGCTGGCATAACAAGGAGTAATGGGCACAAGTTGATGGAGAGGAGGTATAGATTGGACATCCGCAAAAACTACTTCACAGTTAGGGCGGCTAGGAGCTGGAACCAACTTCCAAGGGAAGTGGTGCTGGCCCCTACCCTGGGGGTCTTTAAGAAGAGGCTGGATGCCTACCTGGCTGGACTCATTTGAGTCCCATTTTTGTTTTGGGGTTTTGTTGTTCTCCCGCCCTGGCGGGGGGTCGGGCTAGAAGATCTACTAGGTCCCTTCCGACCCTAAATCTATGAAACTATGAATCTGCACTTCTATAGAAAGTTATTGTCAGAAAATTCATTCTAATTCAAGGTTAATTAGTGTTATATTAAAATAATGTGTTACAAAAAATAATTGCCAGGTCAAAAAGTGTGCTAAAATGCTTACTGCCTGTGATTGCATTTCCATACTCAAAATAATGTTCTACATCCGCCACCCCACTGAAAAATATCCAACATGAAAAGTGAGAATAAGATCGTCACAGGTGTCTTCCTGCCCCGCCTCTAAATTTTGGCACAGTGGCTTGGAAATTTGGCATACAGTTCCTATTAATAGATTAATGACTTACTTACCTTGTTCAACACTACAGTGTTAGAAGATATATGACAAGGCATAGCCTGATTTAAGTTTAGAAGGACTGCAGATATTTGGATAGCACACTGGAAAATACACATTGGTGTGAAAATATTACAGGTTACATTTATGATTTCTAGCTTTTTGGTAATGTGAGTTTTAAAGCAACTTTGCAGGCATGTAAAATGCCAGGTTAAATCTAGGGAAATGTATGTTAACAGGTAGCTTAAATGAACAGCTATAAAGTGTACATGTTATTTTGGAACTACAGATAATTGACAGGCTAAACATCTATCTACAAATTTTTCTTGCTTACATTTTTTAAATGAACAGATAAGATATAAAATCTACTGCAGTTCATAGGAAATGTTTTACAGTTACTCACTGAAAGTTTCTCTTACTATCTGTATTGGATAAATTGGACTCTGCATGTACATAAGAGGATAACTAGTTCCAATTTCAGTGTACAGTGTAGTTGCCACAATATAACATGTGACACTGTGACAGAAGAACTGTACTGTGGTTTCCAACTACATTAAAATATTTGTCAGGCTTGGACATTCATTTAGACCTGTGTGAGGAGAGAGAAGTCAAAACTGAGCTTGTATGCCCAAGACTTCGCAGCCATTCCCTGTCCTCTTTACAGTGCAAAGGCAAAACTCCCTATTAAGAGTACCCCACACTTTGGAAATGTTCTGAACTGGAAGCAAACTTTGTGGTATAAGCTCACCTTTAGCATGGGTGATGGGATAAAAAAGATGGTAAAATTGCAATAGTGGATAGTGGATGTGTACTATCATATCTTTTTAGGGTGGGCCTGTATAGGATACTTGTACATCAGAATTTTCTGCCCCCCCCCAACATCTTTTGCTTGATCATTTGAAGCAGGTTTTTGCAGGCTGAGAGGGGTGTCAAACATCCTACAAAAGGCAATAAGGATATTTTATAAGACTTTTAAATTGCTGGATGCCCTCCTTTTCAGACATATATTTTTCCCAAAGAGCCTCTCCTTTAATTAAGTGAATTAAGATGTAAATCAAGGGAAGAGTTTGAATGAGAGAGAAAGGGGAAAAAAGGCATTCTTTGCTCTAATGCCATCTTTTACCCCATCTTCTATCTGCTTAATCCCTGCTAAAATTGGCATAAAGCAGGGATTTGAGTTTAATGTGGAAAAAAACATTCCATCCTCTGAACATGACAGCCTCACCCTCCCCACAGCAGGGTGTTAAGCTGTTTTGTCAATCAGCCCTCAGAACAGCGCTTAGCTACTTATTTCCAATGTCCTTGACAGATAGGTAGAACTAAACTTCTACTAGTGATCACAGCCCCAGCAATCTGGAGGGTGGAATAAGTGCAATTTTTTTCTGGGAGTGCATTCAGTGACTTCATATGCAGAACAGTTTGGGAAAGGGATTGGGAAGGATTGTGTAGTCAACAACAGCAAGGTTTGAATGACTTTTTCACATTTGATGCTACTTTATTTACTCAACTCTTAGTGACCTAAGCTGAGAGTTTCGAAGCTGGTATGGGATTTGGACATCCACTTTGCACTAATTTTAACAGAGAATACAGATTCCAAATGCCTCAGACATCTCTGAAGATCTTAGCCTTACCATCTGAAACCCTGCTGCCATTAAATTTAGTGGTATCAAGTAAAACCCTAAACCTGAAACCAAGGCAAAAGCCATGTTTTGTTTCCTATTTTATATTCACCATTTAACTCTCATGGATTTCAGTTGAAGTTTTAGGTGCGGAATGATTGCAGCACCAGGGTATATGTCAGTCTTCTAACATGGATTTAAGTTCCTGGTTTTGCTGTATAATAATACGGGTATGGCATGTTGTAGACCAGTCTTAATGTGCTTTTTTAAATGTTCAGTATTTAGTTGGTTATGACATCTAGGGTTCCCATAATAGGATGTTGAACTCTCTATGATAGTTTCAGCTGACTTTGTTCATTTTCTTGTGGATATTTCTAGGGCAGGGCTCTGCTCCATTGGGCTTGTGACAGAGGACACAAGGAGCTGGTTTCGGTACTACTGGATCATGCAGCTGATGTTAACAGCCAGGTAAGCAATAAATGGAAGATAGTTTTGAGAGGATTCATAGTGTTGTCTCTTTACAAAACACTTTATACTAAAGTATGAACCCCTTGAGATACCAAAGCAAATCTTTTCAGTGCATTTCTCATGAAGGGGGCCACCTAACATGAGATGAATGAAAAGAGAACAGTTCCATTATAAATTGCCATCAAAGCAAATAGGGGGCACCTCTACACATCAGATGTCTGCTAGAACGCGTGCTAATCAATACACGTTGGAGCAGACCCAATTAATTGAGTCTGCTGGAGTGTGTTAATGAACGCATTCCAGAAACCTCCATGTCACATCTATTCAGCTTCCCTGTGCTTCAAAATGGCGGAGGGGGTGCTTGAATGAAAGTTTGTTGAACGAGCTTTCATTCAGGCACCTCTGCCACCATTTTGAAGCATGGGATGCTGAATACGCATGATGCTGTGCGCACTTCAATTAGAGCTGCTCTGAGGGCCCCCTTCCACCCCGGAGTACATGTATAGATGCCTACAGATATGAAGTGAGCCTTGTAGTTTACAATGAAGCTTCTTCCTTGTAAAAAGTGCAGCCTTTTCATCTGTTGGTTATTAATTAACATCTGACTTCCAGTATTAATGTTCAGAGATATTTCCTACCTACTGGATGTTTTACAGTTGTTATACACAATAAATTAGTTTCCTCTGTCAACTTTTTAAGCATCCTTTCATCTCTGTAGATCATTCAAAGACTCCACAGTGATAGAAACAAAATTCCATCACTGGAAGAAACTTCTGTTTGCCAAACAATAAAGCATAGTAGAAAATTAGTGTATTAGTAGAAGCACTTTTTAAACAAAGTATCGTGGGTTGGGTCAGTCTATGCTTTGGATGTCAGTGTTGTTGACGAGTGGCAGTTAGAATAGGATCTTCGTGTAGACTGGACACATTACACTGTTGCAATTAATGGCTGAGCCTTGCTACCTGTGATCAGGTTCAGAAATAGTCAAACATTGTTATGCTGGAACTATGATTGATAATTGTTTTTTAAAATGGCTCTTGCTTGCACTTCTGTCTTGTCCAGTGTAGTAAATAGATATGCGGGTGTATGTTCATGATTCACAGGGTTCTGTTATGTAGCATACTTGAACTTTTTTTTTTTCAAAGAGGGACCAATATTTATTTGAATGATGCAGGATTTGTCTGTGGCTTTTTGTTTCACAGTGAGAATAGATACCCACCCACCGGTTTACTGTGCAGTTAGGTTGCGATTGTTCATAAACACTGCTGTCTTGAGGCCAACAGAAATGGAATCGCACATCTCTGTCTGTTTTTGCTGCCGTCTCAGGTGAATGTGTTCTGCTTGGATTACAAAAATATCAAACTAAAAATTAACCTCTTTGATACGTTTGTATCTCCTTTCTCTAGTTATAAAAATCTGACTTTGAGAAGACAGGACTTAGGGGAGATAAACTTTACTTTTTCTGTACATTCATTTTCAATTAAATTCTCTCTCTCTCTCTCTCTCTCTTTCTTTTTGATGTATTGCTGTTTTCTAACCAGATTATTTTTGGCCAGTAACAAAAGGTTAATAATAGCTATAAAAAGAAAATCAATCTTTGATTTTTTTTCCACCTAAGTAATAATGGAGACTTTTTTTTTTAAAGGTCTTGGTTTGCACACAGATGTATTCCCAGAGAAGGCAGACAATTTTTTGGTCGGTCGGTCAATTTATCTCTCTTGCTCTCTTTTTTTCCCCCCTCCTCCTCAGTCATATATAAATTGTAATAATACTTCCAAGATTTCATGACCCAGCATTTATTTTTTAAGCTTTTTTTTATCTTGACCTCCATCATGAAGGAGATTAGTATCCCAAACCCAGAATTGAGAATTTTTTGAAGTTAAACCAAAAGTAGGTAAGAGTGGGGAAAAATAGCTTCCAAATAGGTCATAAACACTGAAAAAGCTCCATATGTATTTGGTATACACACATGCAGGCGCGCGCGCACACACACACGTGTTTTATATATATATATATCTATATATATATTACCTATAGAGAGAGAGAGAGAGAGAGAGAGAGAGTGTGTGTGTGTGTGTGTGTGTGTGTGTACCAAATGTTTTATCAGTTAATGTGTGGGATTCTAAAGAATTGGGGATAAAGCATAAGAGAATCATTAATGGCTTGAATTAGTGGAACTATTGTTTTAATGAATTGCCTTCCCTAAGAGTTTTTATATTTCAGTGTAGGCACAGTAGTTTGTCAAGGGGGCAGTTCTATAATAAACATCCACTGTACATGTCATCAGGTGTTGTTTCATTCACTCATGAAGCACAACTGAAATAAAGGCAACATCAGTGATAAAATATAGATTAGGAACCATGAGAGTGACAACAACTGATAGCAGAGTGGGAATCATGGGATTTTAAGGAGGTAATTGGTGTCCAGTGAAAAGCCATGTCCATTCAGTTGTTTGAGTATGCATAATTACCTTTAACAGTAAATTTGAAAAGAAGTGGTAAGTGATCACAATAAGAAAGGAGATAAATGCAAAAACACAACCAATTTCTTTGCTTTTTTTTTGAAAAGGGACCTTTATATAATCAAATTACCTAAATCCTCAGAGCCAGAGGCCATTTCTAAGTGGGTGGTTGTGTGGTATTTTGGAACTGCACTGGAAACACCCTCAGAAATCTAAGGACAGCTTTGTAGTGGTGTTTTTAGGTTAGAAAGATTTAGGCTAGAAATGTCTCTCTCAAACCGCATAGCAAAGGAAGGGACACCTGTTCTTAAGAGTGCAATTATCCAGGAGGTGAAACTACATGATAAGTATGGTCTTTTCTGGCCTTACAATATTTGAATATATGAATCTGTGAATGCACTGTATTCTTTATCTGCAAGTAACAGAAAGTGTTCTTTTTCTAACAAAACCCAATTGCCATGTAAGCCACAAAAGTGCCTTATCCTTCTACAGTATTATTGTTTGTAGAATGTATTATTTCCAGTACAGAGATTCTCAGCCTGAGGGTTGCAAACAAGGTGCAGGAGGTTGCAGCTGCCCCAAGTGGGAGGGGGAAAGCTGATGAAATTGGGAGACTAGACTTGGGAAGGTCCTGGTATGGAAAAGATTGAGAATCACTCTTCAATGAGATATGCATAGGAATGTTTAGAAAATGTAGATTCCGTATGTATGAAGCCTGTGCCTGAGGTCATACCTGATTTGCCATTATTCATGTGGAGCAATATAGGATGCATATAGGAATTACTGCTGTTTGTTTTCAAGAAGATTAGGTAAACTCTGATCTAATAATCGTCCAAATGATATAGAGAGCATGACAAGCAGCTCTCTGCTTGAATTATGAATACGATAAAAATGGGGAGTTTGTTGTTCAGCTGATAGGACTTTGCAGGGCAAATATTCCTTATATGCTTTTCTGAGAAAATGTAGTATACGGTTGTACTGTGAAAATCATAATTTCTAGACTCACCTTCTAGGCTTCCAGTTTGGTTTCTATATAAACTGTCTCCTGTAATGGAGTGAAGAGGTCTTTCTCATGTCCAGTTTGTTAAGATTGATGTTTTATAGTTACATCCCAATTTTCATACGCTGATGACTTCCCAAAGCATACATCCATCTTTTAAGTTGAAATCATCTTCATCTTTATCTTGTGCACAAAGGTTAATTTTAAGTTAAGTATTTGAAAGTTCTAAGTGAAGTTCTTTAGATTGACTGTGAGCCTGGCAAGGGTAAAAACCATGTCGTTCTTGCTTAAGAAAAGTCAGTCAGTAATGCATTTTAGGAAGTAGTACGGCAGTGCTGATTGGCTTGGAGTGTGAAACTTGGTATTGGACCTTCACTTTTGCCATAACGCTACAGTATTTACAGTCTTTATCATTTGTTTTTCTTTATAGTGGCTTCAATTTCCCAGAATTCTAACTTATTTAAAATTGCAATATTGTCAATATAAAATATTTTGTACACTTAATCACATACAGTTGATGAATGCACAGCACATGAAGACCTTGGTTTTCAGGACTGTTTTTATATATACCTGAAATTTTATAACTTTAAAACTACTGAACAGATTTTCCTGAAAATTCACTTTGATGGATCTAGGGACATGAACAGTAACCCTTCCTGTTACCCTTCATGTCCCTGCTAGCTGTAACTTCCAACTGCACTTTGGTCTTCCTGACTTCATCATTGCGTACCTGAGCAATAGTCTTATACTCTTCCCTAGCTGTTTGCCTAGTTTCAGAGTTGATAGGGTTGGAAGGGACCTGAGCAGATCGAGTCCTACCCCCTACTTAGTTAGCTTGAGTTACTAATTGACACTAGTTGAGATTTGCCTGACTATCTGATTATCAGGGATCCTGGTTTTCTCTGATAAAAAAAATCACAAATTCTCTGACAAACCCCCCCAAATCTGGCTCTCCTCAGCCCTGCTGGTGCCCCCCACAGCTATGACTTGCAACCCCCCCAGCCCACTGCAAGCCCCACTTACCTCAGGTTCCAGGAGAAGAGTGGCACTGAGCTGAGCCAAGCAGAGCCTTGGCTGACTGAGAGTCTCAGGTCCCACCCTTTCCCTCCCCCTCCCGCTCGGGCAGGGCTGGGGTTTCCTGCCCTGTTCGCAAACAGCTTTTGCAGGCTGGAGCTCAGCCAGCCTGGAGAGCTGTTTGCAAAAGCATGAAATCTGTGGGTTTGTCTGCTAAAAGGAGAAATCTGTGTTTTCTCTGATAAAAATAGGAAATCCGTGTTTTTCTCTGTTTCTCCATGGGAAATGGAAAACCCAGATCCCTGCTGATTTATTCTCTGAATACGAACTCGAAGACTACTGATAGATAATCAAAGGAATTGGTTGGTCTTTGCTCATGCGGTTTAAAGAAGAAAAGTAGGAAAATAAATGCAAGGCTGTATACTTATGCAACATATTAAGGTAGAATAGTGTAAGTCAATACTTAGAAATCAGGACAAGGAAAATTAAGGTTGAGTACATAGTTAAAACCTTGTCTGTTGCTTA